GGGCAGGTTGAGGTTGACCGTCTCGGCCAGAGGGCTGGACATGCGTATCTGTGAGCTGCTCTTGCTGAGGATGGACAGCTGCGTCCCCCCGTTCACCCCACTGCTCGCTAGCGAAGGGTGACGCTGCTGCTTCAGGTCCACAGCAAAGTACCTGTTCACCGTCCAACTCCTCCATTTCCTCTTTATCTCCGACTGCACCTTTAGGGAGAAACTTGAAAAGGTCATTTTTTAATGTACTCAGCTGTAAAGGTGCACGCGTTCTCCACCAGTCCACGCTCTACACCATGTCCAAGCCAGACGTGACACGTTTGTGGACACAGAAAGCAAAATACTGCACAATATAATAGCCAATCAGAACTATATTTGATGTTTTATGTTTGGACCAATGAGATTTCATTGTGGCCACCTCATTTTTGTGTGAATTTTTGCTGTAACATGGAAGAAACTGATTGTTTGTCACTTAATCACATCACACCTGGTCAGGACATGGTAGTGTTTTGGCAGTAACTAAAAATGTAGCAAAAAATGTAGATTTTTTTAATGTAGCACATTGGATAAATTATTGTGGAAACGTAATGTTTTCTGAGCAAACCCAAACATATATGAAATTAATATCACAGCTGATTGCATGCTTTTGAGAATATCAAAACAAAAGCTCTTACCTCTCCATTCAGAAAGCAGTACAACACGGCAACCACAAACCCCTGTGGAGAGTTAAAGTGAGTATGTGGTGAAGTGGATATCATTTTAAAGTAGTTTACATTTCAAAAGTTTAGTAGAAATCAATACTGTTACTCAGCAAAGATGCATTCATTAAAAGACAGCAAAGACATTTATAATGATACAATTGATTTCTTTATATTCCTCAAAGAATCCTAAAAATGTATAATGGTTTCCACAAAAATAAGTAGCACAACTGTTTTCAACATTGATAATAATAAGAAATTTTCATAAACAGCCAATTCTGAAGGATCATGTGACACTGAAGACTGGAGTAAAGGCTGCTGAAAATTCAGCTTTGCATCACAGGAATAAGTTGAATTTTAAAATATATTCAAATATGAACCAGCTATTTTAAACTGCAATAATATTTCGCAATATTCCTGTTTTTACTGTATTTTTTATCAAATAAATGCAGCCTTGGTGAGCACATCTATTCATTTAATCAAGCTCCAAAACCTAGTGAACTGCAAAACCATGTCCCAATACTGTGTCAACATGAAGCAATTTTTTGTATGAATATTTTATAGGTGTTTTACCTGTATTTTGATATACTTATTGCATAGTGTTTTATGTTTGAAAGTAAATTTGACAGAAAATGTAATGGTGATTTTTTTTTCTTACAGTGTGCCTTGCTGTCTACATTGGCTACCATCTAAGGCAGCATAGTACTAAAAATATAACACTGTAAGTAAAAATTGAATGAATTGAAACACTCTACATAGGTAGCAATTCACAAAAGTAGAGTGAAAACTAGAGTTGACTGCAAGTTGCAACAGAGCCTAACATAAGTATGCTGTTAAGCTAATGGCTTCAAAAAAAAAATGTCATACTCATACTGATACTAATACTGGTTGTATATTTTAATACAAAACTGGACACTGGATCTTAAGTACTGAATAAATATGCTTTCTTTTGATTCTATCTGCCATTTTGAAATCAACTTTTCACTAGGATTTTTGCAATGCATTCTGAAGTTGTCTAATCCACAAAAGCTTATATTCTGGCAGCATTTAATATTGATGCCCTATGTTTGGAACAGCCCTTGTGTTGGGATCGCACCTACTGTATGATGCCATTTCTGGCAGCTCACTGGTTTGGAACAGAGAAATAGTGTCCACGGAGGTGTTTCTAAAATACAGCGCTAAAGTTGCTACTATAAAAGCTGACGCTCAGTACCTGGAAGGAGCCCAGGCCCAGCTCAAAGACCAGTCGCTCCCGCTTGCTGAAATCCTCCGGGGAGAAGGCAAAAACAGTGTAGTGGATTCCAAACAGAGGGATGAGGAGCAGGGTGGAGCGCGCCAGACGCCTGTCAACACACAGCACACACAGCGGCGCTTCAGACAGCTGATTAAATCTCTCAATATGTCAACACACAGTTACTGTAATGCACTGGAGATCAGAGCCCTCCACAACAATCCTGCTCCACAGGAAAGAAGGCCTCTTTGATTGATCTATTATTTCTTCTAGACAGCAGAAGAGCAAATAGAGACCTCAGATGCTTCTCCTCAGCAAAAGATCCCAATAATCTCACATGTGTCTCTTCTCTAGACTTTCAGAAGAGATTACAACAATGTCTGGCTGTGCATTACCGAAATAACAAAGTCTGCAATTAAAGTCTAGCCTAAGATATGAAATAATAGTCAGAAATATCTATTCTTAAATGGAACAGTTTATTAAAACTGTAGACATAATACAAAAAAAAAAAGAGTGTGTCAATAACCAAAACTGCTTGGATGATTAACAGCTGTGCTATAGTTCACCCTGTTTTGATTCCAAAATCTGGCTCCAAAAAAAATTCCAAAATCTGGTTCCAAAAAAAAATTCCCAAATTTATTTAGTGGATGAATAACACACTTAAAAATCAGTTTCCATTATTTTTTTTCAAGTTTTTGTAAAATATTCTAGTAAACATTATGTTCAATAAAAGTTTTTGTGAAATAAAAAAATATTAAATTAAATGACATCAACCTTTGAAAACCTATATCGATCAACTAATATTGCCAAGCCCTGATTTGGTCTCAGCAGGGCCCTTGGTCAAGACCAAGACTAACTGCCCAGCCACCTAAACCAGATTGGACCAGCCTGAACCACCAGTTCCAAAACAAAGAAGCAACTGTAAACTGGATTATCCAGCAGTTAAAACTTATTAAAAGTCTTGTAGCTCAAACAGTAGAGTTTGGTGCTAACAACATCAGGGACATGGATTCAGTTCCCAGAGAATGCAACTGATAGAAATACATTTAAATATGAGTGCAAAGTACTGTAAATCACTTTGGATGAAAGTGTCTAAAAAGTGTGTGCACGTAATAAAACTACAAAACACAGACAAGACCACAAAAACTATGTGCAGTGAATATTCACAGCCTTTTTTCCCCCTCAATGCACAGTTAAAAATGAAAAATGCACATTTGTTGGCCAACACAGACGCAGATGCACACTCACATTCACACAAACACACACACTTACAGTGTGATGGTAGAAAGCTCTGACATCCTGCACGAATGCTGGGCGGCCTGTGTGGGCTCACTTTTTTTTGTAATGATTCTACGGACCCCCTGCAATTACGTGACGGACCACTAGGGGTACGCGTACCCCCGGTTGAGAAACACTGCTCTAGATTATTTAGGCTATTTAGACTGCTTGTCCAGAAAAAAACCCGATATATTTTATTTTTCACTGCCACAGAAACAAAAAACAAAAAAACAAACATGTTGCCTTGATCAACAAGGATTTCTGTATGCATACAAAATGAATGCTTCCACTTATCCCAGTCAACAATTTTTAGTTACCAGAACAGAAAACCGTATGGTTGAATAATAAAACAAAACCTAAAAATAACCATTAGAGAACACTCTTTCTAGATTCTATCTTGGTTGTCACAAAAATCCTCCCAGCAACATTAGTTTTTGATTACAATACTTACAGAGAATGTTCCTATATTGTTATTCTTTAGTTCTCAAAAATAATAGAGAACGTTCCATATAGGTTCTGTGTAGGTTGTCACAAAATGTTCTGGCAATATTAGACTTTGGATACAAAACGTACAGAGAACTTTTCTAGAATCTTATTTGGTTCCTAAAAATAACCAAACGGGAACCATATGATAAAGTTAGGTGAACGTTCGGTGTTTGCTTGGATACTGTCAAGACTTTCATTTCATTTCAGCCATCATCATGTGATACATGGTATCGACTAATCAGATACAACACATCAACAGCACTCTGTTTCCATGGTGACTGAGACTAACACACTCACAGGTAGATGCTGGACTCGTTCCCGCCAATGTCTGGAGACTGCAGCTTCTGCACCAAGATTATGATGATTCCAATGAAGAGGACAAAATTAATCTGAAAGGAAATGCATGCGTTTATTATAGTATGGAATATGGCTCCATTCACATACAGTACATAAATGAATTCATATGTTTTATTCATTCGCCTTTTAGCTCTAAAAACTAAAAATTATTATTATTATTATTTTTGGCTTACCATGATTGATGCCACAACAGGTCCCTTGATTACCCACCAGAGGGCAGTATTATCATTCATGTCCCAGCAACTGCAGAAATACAATTGATTAACTGTAAGAAGCTTTATTGCTATTGGTAGGCTAGGTCACATGATTTAGCAGCTAAGAGTTCAGAATGATAAAGTGCATGCTTTTGAAAGAAAATAGCATTCAGTGTGTGCCAGATGCCCTACTTCATATACAACAGCACACACTGTCTGGAAAATTGCGTCACAAAATGCAATGTGCTTGAATCAAAATGTATCCTATTTATTTTCCTAACCGTGTAAAGCCTGACATATGATAGTCAGAAATGTTAAACGGAACAGTTTATTGGACATTATATAAAAAGAAATCTAAAGAGTTTGCATATATTTTTTTTGTTGAGCATCAGATTTGATACATCAGGCTTTTATGGCACATGCAGTACGATATAGTGAGAATATAGAGCTCATATTCAAGGAGGAAAAAACACCTCAGTTTTATTCAGAGGCTCAAACTGAGCAAAAATATGCAATTTGGTGCAGGTGCTGATATTTATATGGCCAAATAGTAAAAGTAAGATGAAATTCTGATAGCTACTTACATAAAATGCATGTAAATATCAGTATATCTCCCAATAATATGTCTTAGTAATATGATATTTAAATATTTATTTGTATGATCAAAGCTCTGTAGTTTTTATTGTGGGGCAAAACATATAATGCAATACGATACAATGCTGATTGAGGGATGTATAAATAAATGCTCCTCAAAAGCCTGAAAATCATATTTGATACTCACATTTTAACACAATTTTTCTAAAAAAAACAAAACAATGATGTATGGACAATCAAGTTAAAGATACTCTTGTTCCTCTTGAAAAATAACTAACAATATAAAATGATTTGTTACATTTATGACTACGTTTACCTAAAAATTTCACAGCAAAAATACATGTGATTTTTACATGTTGAAGTTTTTACAATGATACTAAAAGGCCTTTTATTTAATAAAAAAACTAATTCTAAATGATAAATCAGATGACAGAATGCATGTAGTAGTTTGTGTACAAGAAGTTTTTTTTTAACCAAGTTTGATCTAATTTAGAGGCTTTAGAAATTTGCATATGAAATATGATATAGGATAACAGATGCTCCTGGTCTTATTGTGCATGATTATATCACATTAGTAATGAAATGTAATTAGAAATGTATGAGTTGCACATTTTCATGTTGACCACATTCAACTCATTCACATTCACATTTACTATTTAAGTAATCCAACTCCAAAGAGATATTTTTATACAAAACTGGATTAAACCATATGTATTTCTGAGATGATAACCAGATGGCACCCAAATTAAACATAGTGAGGTTATGTAACAAAGCAGTGTTTTCTTACTTAAAAAAATAAAAAAATTGCATGTAGTCCTTTCCAAACAGTGACTAGTGACACTGAAGTTCAGTGCCAGCATTTGCGTATCAAAGCAACAAATACAGTATATCAGCTTTTGTTTATGCGGCATTGCACGTACCCAGAGTCATCAAAATGAAGGCGCAGAACGGCCCATATGGTCACACAAATGGTGGGAGTTCCTGAAAGCGCGAGAGGAAGAGGAAATTTGTCAGACCTCAAAGCTGTTCTCCAATGCATTTAGACCAGCAATATGAATGAATTACATACGCCAGCACAACAAATCACATCATAAAGAGCCAGTGGCCAGTTAATACACAAACGCCACACTCCATTTCCCTCCATATCTATGACTGTGACACATAATCAATCATAAACAATCCATTTTTTTCTGTGATGCATCACTGTGACATACCCCAGCCGATGATGGTGTACCAGTAGAAGTAGCGTCTCTCAGGAAAGAAGGTTTCCACCAGAAGCGTGAAGAGATAGAGACCTTCGATGAAGAGCCAGAAGTAGTTTGACATCACACAGTAATGGAAGAAGACCATCACCGCCTTACACCCCACCTGAACACAGAGAAACACATTCAGGTTTGCTTAAAATCCAATGGATCCCATTAGAAATCCATTTTACATTCACTCTTAAAAATGAAGGTTCTTTATTCGCATCTGTGGTTCCATGAAGAACCTTTAACATCCTTGGTGTCTTTCCATTCCACAAAAGGTTCTTTGTAGTGAAATATTTTTTTTAGATTATTAAAATGTTCTTCACACTAAGAAAATAAATCTTTTCGCTGTTCACTGAAAGGTTCTTTGGAGAATCAAAAACAGTTCTTCTTATCACAATGCTGTGAAAACCTACTTTGGAGCCTTCATTTTTACATTGACATTTACATTACATTTAGTCATTTAACAGACGCTTTTATCCAAAGCGACTTACGAATGAGGACAATGGAAGCAATCAAAATCAACAAAAGAGCAATGATATACAAGTGCTATAACAAGTCTCTACGTAGCAAG